GTTGTAGCTCAGGGGGTTGAGTCACTGCGTGCAATGCCAGCACTGGTTCCAGGCTCAGGGGGTCGAGTCACTGCGTGCAATGCCAGCGCTGGTTCCAGGCTCGGCTGCTGCTCTTCCATTCCAGCTCCCTGCTAACATGTTTGGGAAAGGAATGGAGAGTGACCCACGTGCTTGGACCTCTTCCATCCACACACAGGAGCTCTGGGCTCCTGGTTCAGCCTGGATAAGCCTGGCCAGTGCAACCATTTGGGGTTGCAGTGTCATTCTGCCTTTCAAATAAATACGTTTGTAAACAATTAAAAATGTTTATGCTTCTAAGACATCATTAAGAAAACAAAGGCAATCCACAAAATGACAAAATATTTTCTAATCATATACCTGATAAATGACATATTTACATATCTAAGATACATAAAGAATCTTTACAACTAAATAATTTAAAAACAAAACAGGGGCCAGTGTTGTGGACAGTGGGTTAAGCTTCATCCCATATGGGCACCCGTTTGAGTCCCGGCTGCTCTACTTCTGGTCCAGCTCCCTGCTAATGCACCTGGGAAAGGAGCAGAAGATGGCCCAGACCTTGGGCCCCTGCACCCACGTGGGAGACACAGAGTTCCTAGCTCCTGGCTTCAGCTACAACAATTGCAGCCATTTGGGGATTGAACCAGAAGATGGAAGATCTCTCTATCCATCTCCCTCTCTCTCTCTCTAACTCTGCCTTTCGAACAGGTAAATAATTCCTTTTTTAAAAAATTCAATAAATATATTGATTAAAATGTTATCTACAAAGAGATTTCCCCAAACACTATATACAAATGACCATGGGAAGATACTCGTTAGAGACCTGCAGATCAAAACCATCATGAAACGGCACGTCCCACCCGTCAGGTGTGTGCACAGACAGTAACAAGTGTTGGAGAGGATGTGCAGAAATTGGACCCCTGCTGTGGTGCTGGTGGGAATGCAAAATGGTGCTGCTGATTTAGAAAAGACAGGCGGGCAGCTCCCCAGAGGAGACAATTTAACTACTGCACGAGCAAACAACTCAGTCCAGGGGGAATAACACATACACCCATGGGAGAGCTGGGGCAAGAGTGTTGACAGCAGCATTGTTCTTAGTGCTCAAAAATAAAATAGAAGAAGATAAAGAAGGGAATCAATCTAAATGTAACCAACTGATACACAGGTGAAATAGAATTGGAAGGTTATTCGGTCATAAGAAGGAACAAAGCAGAGGGCCAGCACTGTGGCACAGCAGGTTAAAGCCCTGGCCTGAAGCACCGGCATCCCATGTGGGTACTGGTTCTAGTCCCAGCTGCTCCTCTTCCGACCCAGCTCTCTGCTATGGCCTGGGAAAGCAGTAGAAGGTGGCCCAAGTCCTTGGGCCCCTGCACCCAAGTGGGAGACCTGGAAGAAGCTCCAGGCTCCTGGCTTCAGATCTGTGCAGCTCTGGCCGTTGTGGCCATCTTGGGAGTGAACCAGCAGATGGAAGACCTCTCTGTCTCTACCTCTCTCTGCTCTCTGTAACTTTGTCTTTCAGATAAATTAAAAAAAAAAAAAAGGAACAAAGCATGGCACGTGCTATAACACAGTTGAGCCTTGAACACATTGTGTGAGGTGAGAGCAGCTGTCACAATGGGTCACGTAATACATGAGCCAGAAAGCAGGTCAGGGTTTGCCTGGGGCTGGCACAACTGGAGAGACACAGGTGAAAGAATGCAGGTGAATCCCTCCCTCAAACCATACACAAACACTTACTCAAACGGGCTGTGAAGTGTTGTTTTCTCTTGGGGTTGGTGAAAATGTTTGAAAACTAGAATTGCACACTTTAAATGGCTGAGTCTTATCGTCTGTAAATAATATTATAAGAAATCCACTTTGGGCTGGCGCCGCGGCTCACTAGGCTAATCCTCCACCTGTGGCGCCAGCACCCCGGGTTCTAGTCCTGGTCGGGGCGCCAGTTCTGTCCCGGTTGCTCCTCTTCCAGTCCAGCTCTCTGCTGTGGCCCGGGAGTGCAGTGGAGGATGGCCCAAATGCTTGGGCCCTGCACCTGCATGGGAGACCAGGAGGAAGCACCTGGCTCCTGGCTTCAGATCAGCGCAGTGTGCTGGCCATAGCGGCCATTTGGGGGGTGAACCAATGGAAAAGGAAGATCTTTCTCTCTGTCTCTCTCTCTCACTGTCCACTCTGAGAAAAGAAAGAAAGAAAGAAAGAGAGAGAGAGAGAGAGAGAGAGAAAGAAAGAAAGAAAGAAAGAAAGAAAGAAAGAAAGAAAGAAAGAAAGAAAGAAAGAAAGAAAGAAAGGAAGAAAGAAATCCACTTTGAAAAGAAGAGAACTCTTATGGGTTCCTTACCAGAGAATTTGGGTCTCACACCATATTCAGAAGGTTCCACTCATGGGTCAGTGTGAGCCTGTCGAGGGGCAGTGGGGTCCAGGTTCTCCTCTCTACACAAGAAAGAATTCAAGGATGAGGCGTAGGTCAAGGTCAGCAGAGGAAGAAGACTTACCTGCACACAAAGTGGACATGCACACTTGGGAAGGAGAGTGGGCACACTCAGGACAGAGCTGCACTTAGCCCTCCCCTTTATATGATCTGGATTGCACAGAGGGCGGTGTCTGGGGTGGGTTTAAATTGCATGTTCATAAGTGGTGGATTTGGGGGCAGAGCTTGAGTGCTATCCATTCCCTCCCTCCCCCCCCCTTTTTTTTTTGACGGGCAGAGTGGATAGTAAGAGAGAGAGACAGAGAGAAAGGTCTTCCTTTTGCCGTTGGTTCACGCTCCAATGGCCCGCCGCACTGCGCTGATCCGGATGGCAGGAGCCAGGTACTTATCTTGGTCTCCCATGGGGGTGCAGGGCTCAAGCACTTGGGCCATCCTCCACTGCACTCCCGGGCCACAGCAGAGAGCTGGCCTGGAAGAGGGGCAACCAGGACAGAATCCGGTGCCCCGACCGGGACTAGAACCCGGTGTGCCAGCGCGGCAAGGCGGAGGATTAGCCTAGTGAGCCGCCGTGCCTGCCTCCCTCCCCCTTTTTTGAAATCTCGGAAGTCATGGTGTCAGGGGCATAATGGGAGTCTGAGTGCCGGTGTGGTGATTTTATTATAATGACCTTATAATTAGCTAAAAAGTCATTGTGGGGACGCACCTGGAGCCGTGTTGGTGGGTTTTGGCCAGTGCCAGTTTCAAGCCCTGGTTTCAAAGAAGCCATTGTTTTCTGCCGCACAGAGAGGTGAGGGCTTGGGCAGTGAGGAAGGGCAGCAGGGAGGGGCTGGCGATCTCCCTCCTCTTTGTTAGCTGCCTCCTTACCTACATCATCTTCTCCTCCCTCTGCAGTTGTCACCCCTTGATCTTAATGGAAAGTGGAGGGAGGCGGTCTGTCTGCCGTGACTCCTTCCTGCTGGGTCAGGGCGTCGTCCCTTCACAGTCAGGGGGTGACTCCCCTGCCGGCTGATCTGGAGGCTCCGCTGTCGGCAGTGGCTGGACTCCCTGCGTGGCCATCATCTTTCACGAAGCTCGAATTCTGAAGGACAAACCTGACGATTAGGGTGAGCGTACGTGGGCCAGAGAGGAGCAGGGGTGAGAGCCAGGTCAGAGAAGGGAGAGCGCTTTCCCCTGACCACTTCCCAGGGGTGGTGGAGGCCGAGGGACTTCCCTCAGCAGTCAGGGAGCGAGCTGGCACCATCACAGACCCTCCCAGGGCTCTCCCTGGAGCCCACTGCCGTCAGTGTACCTGCAGGGGGTCTGCTGACCACTGTCGTCAGTGTACGTGCAGGGGGTCTGCTGACCACTGCCGTCAGTGTACCTGCAGGGGGTCTGCTGACCACTGTCGTCAGTGTACCTGCAGGGGGTCTGCTGACCGCTGCCGTCAGTGTACCTGCAGGGGGTCTACTGACCACTGTCGTCAGTGTACCTGCAGGGGGTCTGCTGACCACTGCCGTCAGTGTACCTGCAGGGGGTCTGCTGACCACTGCCGTCAGTGTACCTGCAGGGGGTCTGCTGACCACTGCCGTCAGTGTACGTGCAGGGGGTCTGCTGACCACTGCCGTCAGTGTACGTGCAGCAGGTCTGCTGACCACTGCACACACCCTGCCCTGTGCTGCCAGTTAAGTAACCTAGGGCTGGTCTATTGTCCATGACCACTTTAGCTAGGGTGTCTAAAGAATCTTGTAGGTGCTCTAGGCCTGGACTGTTAGGAAAAGAGGTGTAGAATAGAGAGGAGGCAGTGCACGAATTTACAGCCAGACCGAATTTATTCAGAAACAATAAATTCGTAGAGGTGGGAGACCAACTAGCCAGGTGCACATTGATGGAACACAAGGCAGAAGGCCCTGACCCCCAGGGGCCAGGCCTTTTTATATTTTAGGTGGGCAGGGGGTGGGGGTGGGGGTAGGGGACTGTCACTCCCCGTCTTCATGGGGGAACGACACTAAACCCTGCCTAGGTTTCCTATCCGAGTCACGGCACCATTATGTCGCTCCCCCTCTTCGTGGAGGAACGACACAGGACCCTGCGCTGTTCTTTGGTTTGCTCGGCCCTCCCCGGGTTTGCTGCTGGTTCTTCCCGGGTTGGCTACTATCCCTTCCACCTCCGTGGAAGGGCGGTTCCCCCTGGCCACATTCCCCACTTCCGCAGGGGAGCGGCACACCGCCGGCCGGCTCTCTCGGGGGCTGCACAGGTGTTCCCTTAGATGTTCCCCTTAGATGTTCCTGGTGCATGCCGTCTCTCTCCTCCTTTATAGTCCTCCTCTGCCAATCCCAACTCGGCTGCCCACACGCCGAGTACGCTGCTCTCCTCCAATCAGGAGCAAGTCCTACAGTTTATTGGTTGAACTGGAGGCAGCTGTGCGGAAGCTGTTTACTTCTCTCCCAGCGCCATATTGTGGGAGAGCAGATGCATAGAATAAGTCTTAATTCCAGTAACTCAGTCCAGTCCGGGCTGCTCCCCACAGGGGACCACAGGCTGAGGGGAATTCCTGGAAACTGGGGGGCCTTGGGGAACCTGGAAAGAGAATGCAGGGTGGGGTATGAAGGCCACAGGGTGGGAGAGCCAACGGAGCTCCAAGGGCACGGAGTACACTGCAGTGTTTGTCTCTGGGCAGTGAGCGAGTGGCTGAGGCTTCTTGGTTTCATCGTGGACTAAGCCACCCAAGGCAGCACATGGGTTTCTCAGAGCAGCTTCGTAGCAGGCAGTAAGATTCTCTCCTTCTGGGATTATGGTGGAAAAGTTTACAAGGGTGGAGTTTGTGCCAGTGATAGCTTCCTGAGAAATAGAGAAGTCGGAAAAGCAAAGCAGATGTGAAGTCCAGCAGCCCAAACCTCCCTTTTTAGGGAGTTTATGGCCAAAGCAAACCTTCCACTTACCTGTTAGCCTTTAGGAGAGAAAGCTGAGGTCCTCCACTGGTTCACGAGTAGGCAGTTACCCTCTGGTGTCCCTGTGAAGACTCACGGGCCCGGCTGTAACTCCCCCCAAATTTACCCGCAGTGGAAGTGCTAGGGAGCACCCGATAGGGTCCTTTCGGTTTAAGCTGCAGTTGGTCAGAGCGGGGATCCCTCTCCCCAAGTTTTAGCAAAACTAGATCTCCTGGGGACACTGGTTGTTTACGAGTTCTTAAACTCTGGGACTGGGAGCATCTTGGTGCCATATTGCACCAGAGCCTCCTGGCACCTGATCTAGACTGACAGTGCTCGGTTTGGGGTCTCTGAGTGAGAGGATGTTGGCGGCCAGGAAGGGCTCTGCTGTAAGGCGGCCTTGGGTGCACCACCCTTATCCTAAGGAGGGCAGCTGGCAATAGCCTGAGCCAGGATCCTGAGGTCTCTTGGCATAGCTTGGCCAGAGTCCTTCTAAGACCCTGACTGGCCCTTTCAGCCTTGCCTGAACATTGCAGCCTCCAAGAGGCATGGACGCAGGCAGAGATTCCCAGGGCCTGAGTTACCAGAGACAAAGGCTTCTGGAGCCCAAAACACGGGATCCTGGCTTTTTGTAGGATGTTGGATACTTGTGAGTTTTTTCTGTTTGGTTCAGAAGAGGCTTCTACCCAGCCAGTGAAAACTATGAAGAATATTTGTGACCATTTGCTGGGGGTGTGTTAGTGAAGTCTATCCGCCAGTCCTCACCAGGGTAGGTTCCTCTCCTTTGCCCAGGAGTGAGGAGAGGAGGTGCCCACCACAAAGCAGAGTGCAGCACACACACACCCGAGGTTCCCTTAAATTTAGAGCTCAATTGGGGCATTTTGAGGGCATTTGAAGAGCAGGGCCAAGGCCCCCGGGCACACTGAATCCCAGGAGACAGCCTTGCACAAGCAACCTTTGTCCGATGTTTTCAGATGCCCCGGGCGACATTCCTGAAGGTGAAAGACATGCTTACGATTTATCTCAGCCTACAAACCCTATTTGAAACAAAACATTTTCATGCAATTTTAATGTGCACGACACTTCCAGAAATTCAACCACTATGTAAATCAAGGGAGAGCCCTGCCTTGTTTTATTCAAAACTTTTCTAAGAATTAGTCACCATTCAGAAAACCAGGTCACAAATGACATTGCCGCTTTCTGTGTTTGTACCCGGGCCACGCACAGCGCACACCTCTGAGTGCAGCACTTCAGTGTGTCTTCCGGCATGGGTCTGCCCGAGTGTGCACATCGTGAAATAAAGCTCTTTTAGCAAACATTATTTTCCATTTGCTTCTCCTTCTGGTTAGAGCAGGACACTGTCCATCAGTCAGGGCCCCCAGAACAGGTGGGACACCCTCTGCAGGGGTGAAGGCTACTAGGGATACCAGATACCAAGGAACCAGCAGGGGCTGGCGATGCACCCTGGGGCCAGCACGGGCGAGGAGACCCCACTGCACCCTGGACGGAGCAGGTCTGGGGCAGGTCTGGTGCTGGCGAGATCCACGTCCAGCATAACCAAGAGTCAGGGATTTAGGCAAGAGGCGGCCCAGGAATGAGGCGGAGAATTGGACACAGCTGGTGCCTTGGAGCTTGCTTACCTGGCAACACTACCTGGAGGAGCCAGAGTACCAGCCAACCGAGGACAGCTTCCAGAACTGTCTGGGTCAGAGCTGTGGCCTGCAGGGCAGGGCGCTGGGTGTGGCCAGCAGGAAGGGCCCTCCCACTCCCCTTTCGACATCCTGGATGCTCCCCTAACCCTTGCTGCGAACGCAGCTTCTTATTAATAACAAGCATTCTGTTATTAATATACACACAAAGATAAGGGACTGCAAAAAAGTTCACTCTCAGTGCCTCCAGGGAGGGGGACAGGTTCTGAACAAAGCCCAGTTTAAGAGTGACACACATAGAGAGACAGAGAGATCTTCCATCTATCTACTGGTCCACCTGCCGAATGGCCACAACAGCTGGGGCTGGCTCAGACCAAACCAGAAGCCCTTAAGTCCATCTGGGTCTCCCACAAGTGTGGCAGTGGCCCAAGCACTTGGGCCATCTTCCGCCACGATCCCAGGTGCATCGGCAGGGAGCTGGATGGGAAGTGGAGCAGCAGGACTCTGATATGGGATGCTGGTGTCACAAATGGTGGCTTAACCCGCTGCACCATGATGCCTGGCCCCGAGTTCTTATGGAACTCAGTTCTCAATGGGAAAGATTGGTTTAACCCAGTCACTGTTGGGAGACAATTATTTCCTAAATGTATCTGTTATATAAAGTTGCCTGTGTGGGGCTGGCGCTGTGGCACAGTGGGTTAAAGCCCTGGCCTAAAACACCGGCATCCCATATGGGCGCCAGTTCGAGTCCCAGCTGCTCCTCTTCTGATCCAGCTCTCTGCTATGGCCTGGGAAAGCAGTGGAGGATGGCCCAAGTCCTTGGGCCCCTGCACCCGTGTGGGAGACCCAGAAGAAGTTCCTGGCTCCTGGCTTCGGGTTGGCGCAGTTCTGGCCATTGCAGCCATCTGGGGAGTGAACCAGCAGATGGAAGACCTCTCTTTCTGTCTCTACCTCTCTCTAACTCTGTCTTTCAAATAAATAAAATAAATCTTTTTAAAAATGTCTTGCATAATGTTTAAAAAAACAAGCATTCTGTTATTAATATTCATACAAAGATAAGGGACTTCAAAAAAGTTCATGGAACTAACAGATAAGTTTGGGGCTGAGGGTTGATGATACAGACCTAGCAAGGGGACAACCAAGGTCACCAGTCCCTTCCTAGGGACCCACCTCACTCTACCACAAGCCCCTTATTTTACTGTAGAAAATTGCTATTTCCCCAAACCGCCACCCAGAACCTGCCCTGGCCAGAAACACCCAACATGGCTGCTGACCATGTCCTTGCAATGGCCTATAGCTAATTATAACAGCATTGTAATGAAAAGACCAGGGCTGATACACTCCTACCATACACCTGACACCATGGCACCTCCAAGACTTCCACAAGCTGCTGCCTGCAGTGCTGGCATCCCATATGGGCACCGGTTCAAGTCCTGGCTGCTCCACTTCAGATCCAGCTCTCTGCTGTGGCCTGGGAAAGCAGTAGAAGATGGCCCAAGTCCTTGGGCCCCTGCACCTGTGTGGGAGACCTGGAAGAAGCTCCTGGCTTCTGATCAGTGCAGATCTGGCTGTTGTGACCATCTGAGGAGTGAGCCAGCAGATGGAAGACCTCTCTCTCTCCTTCTGCCTCTCCGTAATTCTGCCTTTCAAATAAAAATAAATAAATCTTACTCCTCTGCTAACCTCATCCTTTATTCTTTGTGAATACTTATTTAAGATTGATTATTTATTTGAAAGGCAGAGTGATAAAGAAAGATCTTCCATCCACTGGTTCACTCCCTAAATGACCTCAATAGCCTGGGCTGAACCAGACAGAAAAAGGAGCCAGTAACTCTATCCCAAGCACTTGGGCCATCTTCCGCTGCTTTCCCAAGTGCATTAGCAGGGAGCTGGATTGGAAGTGGAGCAGCTGGGACTCCAACTAGTGTTCTGATCAATGGGATGTTGGCACCCCAAGCTACAGCTTAACTACAGCACAAGGCTGACCCCTCAGCCTTGATTTCTTTCTGGCACTGGAGAAAAGAACCTGGACCCAGTCCTCAGAGAACACTCATTGGAACTCATCCCCTCTCGGAGTTTCAGTCCTGCTCCACTCCTGATTCTGGCTTCATGCTGAGAGGCAGGGGATGGCCTTAGTGGTTGGGCTGAGATTAAGTCTGGATTGAGCTCTTGGCTTCTAGCTTTGGCCTGGTCCAGCATTGGTTGCTTGTGGGTGTTTGGGGAACAAGCCAGTGGATGGACGCTTTCTCTAGCTCCCTATCTTTCTCACCACCTCTCAAATAAATAAAGTTAAATTAAATTTTTAAAGGTTTGTGGAAAATGGAGTTAAAACGTAAGTTTATTTTGGTGCAAGAAAAATTTTGGAATTCATGCGTAGGAGAGGTCTCCCAAAAGGGCGTGGAGAAGGTGCATGGGGAAAGTGACACCTGGACCTCAGCATGGAGAAGGCGCATGGGGAAAGTGACACCTGGACCTCGGTGTGGAGAAGGTGCATGGGGAAAGTGACACCTGGACCTCAGCGCCCTCCTGGGGTGGGGGCCGCGCGGCTCAGCTGCTTGTTTGCATCCCTTTCCAGTTTGTGGGCCTTTCGTAGGCGATTCTCAAAGTTGGGGCCCGTTAGGATTCCTAGGGAGCTTTTATCTTTCAGAAGTATGGACACCACTGGCCCCTCCCAGGAGGCTGAGACACAGGGTCTGAGGTGGCCAGGTCACCCTGACACGCAGTTGGCGGTGGGAAGCAAGGTGCAGGCGAGGGTTCTCAGCCTTGCACTGGGACGTTGCCCTTGACACTGGGGAGGGCTGGCCTGTGTGCTCAGCAGCCTCCCTGGCCTCTGTCCAGGAGATGCCCACCCTCACTCCCTGCCCCCCGCCGTGTGGCAGACGGAAATGTCACCAGACACTGCCCGAATGTCCCCTCTACTTGGAGACACTGGTCCGGGCCTGAGTGTGCTCTCCACGTGTGGCCTCGCAGGAAGCTGCAGAACAGTGTCCGAGTCCAGCCCCAGGCTGGGGTCAGAGGTCCCCTCTCACAGCCACCGCCCGCGTGCACCTGGCTTTCCTTCCAGTGCCCACACCTTGTCCCTGGCTGCCTTGCCCAGCAACCTGTTAGAAGTGGAGTGCTCTGTATTTGATAGACTCATTAAAAGTATTTTCCATTGCTCAGTTAATCAAGAAAAGGCTGCATTGGCTTGTGGTGGTGTCCTGGCTGATTTTCCACCTCCACTTCAGGAAGTGCCCTGTCCCTCCCCGCCCCCATCCCAGCCTCCCAGGGGACCACTACACATCCAGCCGGCTGCCCCGGCTTCATTCCTGGGTTACGTAACCATTCCAGCCAGGACTATGATTTAAACAGACAGGAAGAGCCACAGAGCCACTGCCCTTTCAGGAGAGGAATTTACAAGCGGAGGTGATGGGTTCCACAACTTGAAAAGACCAAAATAAAATAAAATAAGTCTGCAGGAATTTACCAAGTAGGTGTTATTTTTAGGTGACCTTAAAGGAAGTGTGTGATTTGATATGGATCTTCAAAGAGACTTCCTCCCTCCTCCCTCCTCCCTCGCATCACTCAGGGGCTTCTCCCTGGGGTGAGAGCCACTATGGGGCGGCCACTTGCCCCTGGGTCGGATGTGCATCGAGGACCCTGGAGCTGTGCACATGGTGGCCCTGCCCTGGCCAGGACTGGCGCTCGCCCTTTAAGAGCTGAGAGTGGACGTGGAGGAACAGAAGTGACTAAAGCCCAGGGGACAGGGCAGAGTCACTCGGACCTCCCTGTCCGCCTCCTCCGTGAAGCCTTCCTCCCTGTCCCCACCAAAGCCCTGGGAGCCCGTGACTCTCTCTCTCAATCCACTTCCAGTGCAGCCACTCTGGCTGCTCCCCTGTGCTGCCTGGGGCATCTTCTCCCCTCCCCACTTCACTCCGAGTAAACCCACGTGCTCACAGGGTTAGGAGGTTAGCCCGCCCCTACTCTCCCCCAGCTACTCCTTCTCCCCCTCCACACTGGACACGCTCCTGCCCTGGGACTTGGGCCCCAGGGGCTCCTCTCCCAGGGATGCTGTGCCCCCCGGGAGCTCCAGGGCAGCTCCTTGTCTCCCTCCAGGCCTGGCTGTGAGGCTACCTGCGCGGTGCACCTGCCCTTGCCAACTGCCACTCCCCCACTGACACCATTCACAGCAGCCTCTCTCTCTCTCATTCTCTCATTCTCTCTCTCTCATTCTCTCTCTCTCTGTATCTCTCTCTGTATCTCTCTCTCTACCTCTACCTCTCTCTACCTCTCTCTCTACCTCTCTCTCTCTCTCCCTCTTTCTCTCTCCCTCTCTTTCTCTCTCCCTCTCTCTCTCTCTACCTCTCTTTCTCTCTCCCTCTCTTTCTCTCTCCCTCTCTCCCTCTCTTTCTCTCTCCCTCTCTTTCTCTCTACCTCTCTCTCTCTCTCCCTCTTTCTCTCTCCCTCTCTCTCCCTCTCTTTCTCTCTCCCTCTCTCCCTCTCTTTCTCTCTCCCTCTCTCTCTCTCTACCTCTCTTTCTCTCTCCCTCTCCCTCTCCCTCTCTCTCCCTCTCTTCCTCTCTCCCTCTCCCTCTCACCGTCTACCTCTATCTCTCTATCTGTCACAATCACTCCCTCTCTCACTTTCACTCTCTCTCAATCTCTCTCTCAAACACACTCACTCACTGAGTGACTCTCACTAAAAGCTCTAAGGATGTCAAAGATACGAAGGGGATCTCTAACTCAATCTCAGGAAAATGTAAATCGATAAAAAG